AAGTTGAATTAAAAATTAAATATCAGAATACGAAAAAATTTATTTTGTTATATAACGTGAGGACGATAATATTTAATCAATTATCTGTCTTTAGCGAATCGCAAAGTTTTCTTTAGACATATTTTTATTTTTATTTACGTAAGACTAATTAATTGAGGAACTTTTGAGAAAAGAGGTCGAGCATGGGATAAAAGCGAACGATAGGCGCATTGTCGATCGAAGGCGAATCCACGTTCGGGATATTTTAGTATAAAAGTTATTGGAATCCGTATTATATTTATAATCGCGAGGGTTCGTTTGTTAATCATTAACAATCGCCTTTACTTGTATTTTTATTTATCTCTGATATATCAGCATTTTTTTTTACTGCTCTCTAGTATGCGAAAACAGCGCATATTGACTTTAACTAGGAAACATTAACGTTAAAGAAGTTCAATAAGTGAGAGAATCTTTCGATAGAGGACAAAGCACTTGCTGCTGCGGTATTGAAATATTTTTTTACAATATAATTCGTTTAGTAATCGTTTAACTTTAAGATTTACTTTTAAAATCTGTCATTTAATTTTAATGAGGTTAATAATTTCTTTCCTTCATTTTCTCTCGTATATATAATATTTTCATATATAATATGCTTATCTGCGTGATATTTGCAGATTGGAGTTTGATATAATAATAATTGTTTTTTTTATTTTTTTTTGAGACTTATCTACTAATGAGCACGAGACGAACAGATTTACACCTAGGAAGTACAATAGAGACTCTTGTTTTTTTATCTCAAACTTAATTAGTAGCGAGAGAATGAAATTTTTCATTGACAAGAAAAGTATATTCATATATATCGTATAATATGTATATCAGGGTGCGAAGAATGAAAAATGGGAAAATTAAATAAAAACACTAAATTACAAATTCAAGTTCTTTCTTTTCAGTTGAACGAAAGACAATCATTCAGAGTGAAAAGAAAGAAATCTTTTACTATACCGAAAGAATGACAGGATCACTCTGATATATCACACGCAAACGCAAATAAAAACCTAGGTTCTTCGCTAAAAACATATCTAGAATACAATAATAGTTTATAATCAATATCAATGAATCATCGTCGACAAAACGTTTCTCCGTTTTCCTCCCAAGCGGAGGTTCACCCAATTTTTGTTTTTATTTTGTTTTTTTTATTATAATTTCACGACACGAATACGTGTCATTCGCTACGCATTCTGTCGAAATCGCACACACTTCATTTTCTCCCCCAATCACGCACACAACTAGAGTTCAATTACAGTCATTCGCGAAAAATAAATCTCTAAAATCGCGGATCATCGATTACCACGAACGAGCTTTAAACCTCCTTGTGTCAAATTCACTGAAAAGTCGAAGGTCAGTTCTCTACATATTTCTTTGTACTCGCGAGTTCGACATATGAGTCATTATAACATTTCGATGATGCAAACCAGAATTAAAAGTATATATCTACATTTCCCAAGCTTTTCAATAATTCCTTTCAAGAAAAAGATTTTTTTTTTGTTTATTAATAAATTCTCCAAAAAGGGATATAAATATTTCTTTGGCAATTTTTTTTCCTTCTGTTTTCTTTTAATCTATGAGACAAAAATTTCACAAATAACTATGATTCTTGATAAAAATCGATTCTTTCAAAGATGGATAAAAATTCTTCTATAAACAAGAATATCTAAGAAATTTCTCAAGAAAAAGTTTTACATAAAAGTATAGCAATTCACTAAGTTTCAAGCAAAAAAATTTCTAGCTATCGGATAAAATTGTTTTTTAATAATTGAAACTTTGGTCTCGCATCATCGAGAAAAAGTCGGCAACATGTTTTTTTTAAAAGCGTACGAGTTTCACTAAATGTAAGTTTGATTAAAGACATCAATTATTCGAGATTCTTAAAGCGGCTGAATAAAAATCGAGTTTTTATTTCTAACTGGCCTTCGAATATTCGGAGTTTTTTTTTTTTTTTATTTTTTTCTTAATATTCGCTTGAAGAATAAGAATCACGATCTGCGTAAAACGAATGGGAAACTAAACGTAATCGAGAGAATGATATTATTCATTTCGATTCGTTAGTTTCGCGAGGTTCTTAATTTAAAACTTCACGCGATGAAGAATTTCAGATTGCTGAAAAATTAGCGACAGTCAAGATAAAAATAAGTAACATTTTCGCGAAAGTTTCTAAAGAAAAACTCTCGTCGAAAAATTTTTATTAAAAATAAAAATATCTTTCATCGAAAAGAATATATATATATCTTTTATCGGAAAGGTATTTTATAGAAAAGTGAAGATAATCTTTAGTTAAAACTGGAAAAATGAAATGTAAAAATATAACAATTGGTCTATTTAAAAAATGGAACAAATTAAAATACTCCAATGCATTCAAATTTTTGCAATGAAAAATAAATTCAGAAATAAATATTACTTTTGAATACAAAATATTTACTTTTTGAATAAATGATTTATCTTTCAATTGAAAAACGTTTTTTATGATACGAAAGTTCTAAATGATCAAATGAACGAAATTTATTTCTTCATCTCTCTAAATTTGAATTAGTAAAAATGTTAACTAATTTTAATTACTGAGTGACGTTCTGCTTATGAATTAGTAAATTTTTCTAATAAATCAGAAGTTTTTTAAATTAGTAAATTTTACTAGTAAATATCAATTAATTATAGTAAATTTAACTGATAAATTAATAAAAATGACTATTTATTAGTAAAATTTACTGCAATTAAGTTGAAATTATTATCTATTAGTAAAATTTACTACCTATAATTTAGTAGAAATTACTATTTTGTAGTCAAATTTACTAGAACTTAGTAAAAATTACTAGTTATTAGTAAAATTTACTATAATTTAGTAGAAATTACTATTTATTAGTAAAATTTACTGGTAAATAGAAATTTCCATTAAATTATAGTAAATTTTACTAATAAATAGTAATTTTATTATTAATTTTAATAAATTGGAAGAAATTACTATTATTTTTTAAAGTAGTAAATTTTATTAGTAAATATTAATTAAATATAGTAAATTTTACAGATAAATTAGTAAAAATTACTATTTATTAGTAAAATTTACTGTAATTAAGTTAAAATTATTATTTATTAGTAAAATTTACTATAATTTACTAAATTTAGTGTAAATTACTATTTTGTAGTCAAATTTACTAGAACTTAGTAGAAATTACTATTTACTTGTAAAATTGACTGTCATTTATTAAAAATTGCTACTTATTAGTAAAATTTACTGATAAATAGTAATTTCCACTAAATTATAGTAAAATTTACTAATAAATAGAAATTTTATTATTAATTTTAATAAATTAGAAGAAATTACTATTATTTTTTAAATTAGTAAATTGTACTAGTAAATATTAATTACTTATAGTAAATTTTACTGATAAATTCGTAAAAATTACAATTTATTAGTAAAATTTACTAGAACTTAGTAAAAATTACTATTTATTAGTAAAATTTACTGTAATTAAATTGAAATTATTATTTATTAGTAAAATTTAATATAATTTAGTAGAAATGACTATTTTTAATTAGTAAAACTAAATTATAGTAAATTTGATTAATAACTAGCATTTTTTACTAAATTACAGTAAATTTTACAAATAAATAATAAATAAATTTTACAAATTCTAGTAAATTTGACTAAAAATAGTAATTTTTACGAAATTACAGTAAATTTTACTAGTAAACAGCAATTTCTAGTAAATTGTTGTAAATTTTACTAACAAATTAATAGAAATTACTTTTTCTTAGTAAAATTGACGTTAATTTATTAGAAATTATTATTGAATATTCACTAATAAAATTTACTATAATTTAGAAGAAATTACTATTCACTAGTAAATTTTACTGTAATTTAGAAGAAATTGCTATTTATCAGTAAAATTTACTAATTCAAAAGCAAAACTTATTTACTGATTCGAATTTACAGTTCTTTAGATTAAATTGATTAAATTAAATTTTTGTTACAATTATTTTGCGTTACTATAAAAAATGAGTAATTAATAAAATATTTGTAATCAGAAATAGTTCCTTCATTTGAACCTTCAAAACTTGTTTTTTTTTCTTTTCTAGTTTTTTCCTTTAAATTCAAAAAATACAGCGGAAAAATTTTTAGGTTATCTACGATCATTTTAAGTATTAATAAATAATCATTTTTTATACAATTTGTAAAATCAAAAGTAATTCTTATTGAATATTTCAGACGCTATTGCTTTAAATATCATTAACTTGCACCGAGACTTATTTCTCTTTATGAATTTTCACTTTAAAATTAACAATCATAACCTAAAATTTTTTACGCGAAAAAAATGGAGCTAGGAGCGTCACCACGAAAATAAAAACCTGTTAAACTAACAGAACTAACTTTATATCAACAAATTAGAGCAATAGAAGTGTTATTAACTATAATTACTCAATCATTTATTCTTCTCGCGTGAAACACGAATTGTGTGAGAAAAAAAAGCCGGCCCCAAGAGTAGTCGCGTGTTGAGCGCAAATACAATATAAAGTTCGATACAAAGTACACGAATTTGCGACACAGAACTAAATTTAACATCGTTGTAAATGTATCACAGACTATTAATAAAAGAATACACGGTGTTAGAAAGAGGCGAGAAAAGACGCCTTTGCTAAGCGCCAATACAAAAATGATTCATAACATAAAACGCGACTACTTCAGGTGGCATCGTTGGCATTGTTAAAAAGGTGTAAATAAATAAAAAAGCACTGAATTGATATCAAAATAAAATAAAATACATTAATCGCGTTACGCAGTATCGGGTCAGATCCAAATAAATTTCTAAAGTTCACTGAGTTTCTTTTCTTTTTTTTTGTTTTTGTTTTTTAAAATAAGACGGAGCGACTGGACTAGTCTTTCGACTAGCTTGCGGTCTGCGCAAGCGCCTTGGGCCCAGTGGCCCTGGACACCAATCGATTTCCGGTTTCATGGATCATTCCCTTTTTTCTTCTTGATCCAGAAATTCTGCTTGTGATTCCAGAAGAATTTCCAGCAATCCAGAATATTTTTTAAAATTCAGTGATCAGTGAAAATTCAAAATCGAGTCATTCATCGAGACCTGTGGCAGTCTTTAACACGAAGTTTGTATCCAATAATGAAAACTTCAACTATAATTACAAGGACGTTGTTGATCAAATTGACGACCAGCTTAACGAACCTGCCACTATGGCTAGTGATTATCTTCAGCATTTTCAATCAATTTAAGAACACGATCTCATCTTGGAGGACAAATTTCTATTATCGAGAGGTAGGAACTTTAAATTCTAAGTATTTAAAAAATAAATTGGAAAATTTTCAGAAAAAAATGAAACGTACAAGATCAGAGAAATACCCTCTTGCAGGAATGTTAAGCTCTTGTGTGTGTCTGAATAGTGCACGGTGGTTTTGGATTACAGAAATGCAGATCAACAGCGTTCTTGAGATCTCTCTCTTTTGATCGTTGTGGCACTGGAGGACTAGAGCTAGAATCAAATTCTTCTGCAGTCACGTCTGGAATTTCTTGGATCAGAATAAGCATCATTAAACCGGATATCGATGTGGAATCGCTCATGGCATAACATTCGGTTGCCCAGGGTCTCACTGGGCTTGTGCACTAGGGTCACACTGCAACAGTCGCACTATAGAGGGATCGCTTTTTGCGCCCTCAATGAATTCTTCCAATGACAACTTTCCGTCCTTATTCTTGTCCATTTGCCGGAAGATCTTATCCGTCCTTTTTTCTGGCGTCGATTCGTCCTCTGGCATTTTCATCACAGTGCCAACCATTTTGTAGATCGCCTGCAATTTAAACAAAAAAAAAATTCTTGCATGTCAACTTTATACTCAATATTATTTTACTCAATTATTAAATATTAAATATTAAATATTAAATTCAATTATTTATTACAAAATATGAGTCTTTGACTCGAAGTGATCCTAATCTTCATATTTATTTATTTTTAATTATTATTATTTATTTATAATTTAGTTTTTCACTGTAAAAAAAAGGTTCTAAGTAAGAGCTGATTTCGGTATTAAAATAGAACCAAATGACGATTTACTACCAAAATTGGTTCTAAATTAGTATACCTTTATCTTTAAAGTGTATTAATTATTTTCTCCACAGAAAAATAGAATAAAACACAAAATATTATTTATTTATAGTTTATTTTTAATTATTAATTATTTTCTCCATAGAAAAATAGAATAAAAAAAAATAATTTCCAAACTGGATTAATTCAATTTCAAGTGCTCTCTCGAGGATTTGTTCAAGTATTATGCAAGCGTACAGCAGGGAAATTTTTTTGATTTTATATTCGTTTACGTATTTCTGTAATTTGAAAATTTAGAAGACAAAATTGGATTTCTCCCCCCCCCCCCCCCAGGAAAATATTGTGTAACTCATGTAGAACTTTTTTATAGAACTGAATAAATTGAATTTCTGTAAAGATTCCATAGAAAATTCCTTGAAATTTTTAGATGGAATTTTCATGCAATTTCCGTGGAATTACCAGAAGCTACTTCTTTCGTGGAATTCTTTTACATGAGTGCATTCAACTAATGTTTTGAGGGTGAGGGGAGAAACTTTTCGAAATATGCATGTACGTAATACTTGAACTGTTTTGCAGTAAATTTTTAAAGAAAAAAAAATTCTATTTCAGTTCATGTTTGAAAATATTTTTTTTATTTTCTGATTCAGTAAAAAGAGGAGGGAAATATTTTGTTAATGTAAAATAATGAGAAAATAGGAAAATTATAAAATAGTAAATTTCAAATAGTAATGAATAGAAAATACAATGTAAATAATTAATAATAATGGATTAAAAAATAAAAAATACTGAAAGCCTTGAATAAAATTACTTTTTTTTAATTTTTTCGACTAATTTTAATAAAATGCGATTATTTTGATTTTTTAGCTATAAATATTACAAAATTAACAGAAAATTTTTCAAATAATTCAAAATTCAAATAATTTCAACTGAAAATTGAAACTTTTTAGTTACAAATATTGCAAAATTAACTGAAAATTTTTCAAAAATTCAAAATTCAAATAATAATTCAAATAATTTTAAATTTTTAACTGAAAACTGAAACTAAGAACAGTTTAATTTTCAATTGTATTTCAAGTGAACTTTTCGTTTTTCTAAATCATTCAATTCACAACAAATTTTTCTGAAAATTATTAAAAATAATTGATTAAGAATAGAATTTTGATTAAAAATTCTAGAAAATAATTAAACATTGGAAAAGTTAAATTAACTGAACAATTTTTAAAAAATCAAAGTTTGGTAAAATTAAACTGAAAACAATCCAATTTTTAATTGTATTTTTAGTGAACTTTTCGTTTTTATAAATCATTCAATTCACAAAGTCTTCGTGAAAATTATTAAAAATAATTGATTTGCTAAAAAAATTGAATTAAAAATTGTAGAAAATTTTAAACAACTGAAATATTTTGATTTGAATTTCTTTAAAACTAATTACTAATTAGTAATTTCTTAGAATTTTTTAGCTTAAAATTGACAAATTTTCGAATAATTAAGATTTTGTAAGATTTTATTGAAAACATGGTTCCAGTTGCAATTTTGATAAAAAAAATTGTCATTTTTGTATTTAAATAATTAAATTCTCAAGGAACTTTTTGAAAATTATGCAAAATAATTGGATTTAGAGAAAAATTTTAATCAAGAATTTTTCTTTTTTAAATTTCTTTCTTTTGGTTAAATGGCCTCTGGTCCCATAGATATGGAACAACTAGCCAATAAAAATTTCTTTTTTAAATAATTCAATTCACACAAATTTTTCTGGAAATTATTAAAAATAAAATTGATTTAGAAAAGAATTTGGATTGAAAATTCTAGAAAATAATTAAATATTGAAAAAGTTATAAAGTAGAAATTTTTGTAAATAATTAAATTTCAAGGTTTCAAATTCAAATTTTTGAAAATATAAATCTTAATTTTCAATAACTGAAATATTTTGTTTCAATTTTTTTTAAATTAATTACTTATTAGTAATTTTTTGTAATTTTTGAACATTGAAATTGACAAATTTTCGAATAATTAAGATTTAGTAAAAAAAAAAATTTGAAACAATTGAATTGTAAACTTAATTTTAGTTAAATTTCTTTTTCTTAAATAACTGAATTTTCAAAGCATTTTTTCAAAATTATTAAAAATAATTGATTTAGAAAAGAATTTTGGTAAAAAATTCTAAAAAACAATTAAACTTCTAAATATACAATAAAGCGTAAAAAAATTTTAAATAATCGAAATTTTGTAAAATTGAATTGAAAATAATTGAATTTTAATACGTATTTTAAGTTAATTACTTTATTATTATTTGAATAATTCAATTCTCAAAGAACTTTTTCAAAATTATTAAAATAATTTATTTGGAAAAGAATTTTAGTAGAGATTTCTAGAAGAAGAATTATTTCAAATAATTGAAAAATTTTCGAATAATTAACATTTTCTAAAATCGTATTGAAAACCAATTAATTTTAAACTTATTTTCAGTTAATTTTTTTTTCTTGAATAATTGAATTTTAAAAGAAAGTTCTCAAAATTATTAAAAATAATTAATGTAAAAAATAATTTTAATAAAAAAGGTTAAATTTTTGAAAATTTCGATTGATGTAATATTTCAATTGTTTTTAAAAAATTATTTAAGTTTTGAATAATTTTAATTAAAATTTAAAGAAAATAATTAAATTTTGCAAGAATTGCAGTTAAATTTTTTGTAATAGAAATTTAAAAGGTTTGAATTGCAATTTTTTGAAACTTTAACTTTTTGTGAAAGTATATTACTATAAATATTTAAATATTTATTTAGCAAAGTTATTGAATGTAAAAATAAATAAATAAATGTTAGAAAAATTAGTTAAATTCTTTAGAATTAATAAAATTTATAAGAACTTCGAATTAAAGTTACTATTAAAACAGTGGAATAAGTTCAAAACTTTTCAATAAATCAGGAAAAAGTTAGGAAATATAATAAAAACTCTAAATAAAATAAACTATCGACTTTTCTTCGTAATTTAAATCGATTAAAACAACATTTTTTGCCTTTTAAAGTTGATCCGAGACCTGATATTGTAAAAAATTAAAATTTATTTATAAATTTCAAAAAAAATAAATAAAAAGCAAAATATGGCAGTATAGGTTTAAAAGCGCTTTATAATAACCCAGAGAGAAATTTTCATTAAACAATCTTGCATGAGGATAGAAAATAGAATGTCAAAATTCGTATCTTTTCTCATTGTTCTGTTGTAGAAATTTCAGTAATGTCTATAATACGACATAAAAAGAAACAATGGGTAATTGGTTGCCTTCTGTTTTCTTTCCCCTTTTTCTTGTAATTTTTGTCTTGGAATTGCCTCAACTGTTATGTTTTCCTTTTGAAATTTTTATACTTTTCTACTTAATAAAATTCTATTGCAAATGATAAATTTTTTTTTTTTTTTTTGAAACACTGATAAATCCCTTTTTTTTAAATAAAACCAACCTTTTTTTTTTCTTCTCAAAGACCATGAATAAAATCTGCACACAAAGAAACGTTGAATAGAGAAATAAAGTCTCTTCAAAAAAATATAATAAATTTTCTTTTTAAAATTCTGTCTCTTAAATATACTTTGTTTCTCATTCTCAGTCAACGTTATTTAAATGATAATATTCCCGAGTCGAGAGAAATATGAAATTGATAATCCAGTAATAGAATTTTGAAACAATTCAATAAGTGAATTAAAAGTTAAATATATAATTTAATAAATATGGTAAAATTAGTTAGCGAAAGTTTTGAACTTACCGTGACGATTTCGAGCATTTCTTGACGTGAAATGTAACCATTGCCATCGAGATCGTACATACTGAAGGCCCACTTCAGTTTCTGTTCCAACTTTCCCCGTGAAGTAACGCTAAGGGCGCAAAGGAACTCCCGGAAATCGATGGTGCCATCACCATTAGCGTCAAACGTCCTAAAGACATGTTCTGCAAACTGAATTCAGAAACAAAAAATAAAAAATTAGAAAAATTGTTGAATAAAAAAATTGCAATGTTGATTCGAGCGGAATCGGCCCGGAAAGGAACGGGTTTTCTTTTCATTTCCGCTTCATTCTTCCGTCTCTATCCAAAAAACACTAGCTTTTCTTTTTTCTCAGATACGGAATCCTATAATAAAAATTTCATATTCTCAAATTGAAATCACTATTCTATTCATAGAACAAAGTATGTATTCCCAACGCGTTCTTAGAAAATATATATATATTTTTTTTTGTTGATAAAATAGAAGAATAAAAATCAGAATTGAAAACCGTTAATTTACGATAGGAATTATTTGCAATAGAAAAAGAATAAATTTTCCTTTATTGAAAAGAAGAAGGAAATTTAATTAGGAATTTTCGATTATAATATCAATAAAAATTGATTGAAAACGAAAAGTGCCCAAGGCGACGATACTTTTTGACTTTAGTTTTTCACTGAAGAAATCATATCCCGAGGCATTGTGAATCTTTTGCTTTTCATTCTCTTTGTGGATAAACTTGAATTAAATGAGATGGCGAGGAACAAATCGTTAATGATCTAGTGAAAAGTTCTATTGCCAGCTTGTTCCTAAAGCCACGACCCACCCAATAAGTCAAGCCCTCTTTCGCCCTCTTTCGCCCTCTTTCACCCTTTTGAGAAGTACGTGTTCTCTCTCACGTGCTTCTACTCGAGGACCTGAGGCGACTCCACTTTTGCCGCTTCTTCGACGTCATCATTGAACTAAGTTCGAGACCTTCGCTACTACTTTCAGACTCTAATTTCAACTGCTTTATTAAAAATCAACTTTTTCTTAAATTCTTCTTTGAAACAAAATTTTTCAAGCTAATGCTTTTCACTTTAAACAGCCTCGAGGGAATTCAAGTGCCTTCTAAAATTATTCTTATATGGAAAAATGTTCTAGAAAAAAAAACCCGAAAAAGAGAACTGAAAAAAAATCTTCGATTATTTTAATTTTCACAAATAAAAGTTTTAATCGTTCTGATAATAATTTATAAAAAAAAAAGAGTTTTCGCTAAAAATTTTGTCTACTACAGGCCTCAGATTGAATTTAAAACGCAAAATAAGTGAATCACTTGAAATTCAAAAAAAAAAATTTGTCATTTATTCGAAAAAAGTCGTTTATCTTATTACAAATATTGTCACAAACAATTTATTTTGAATTGCCCTGATTTTTTCCTGATTTCTAAAAAAAACTTTTAATTTTCCCTTATTTTGATAACTTTAATTCAAACTTTTTGTAAACTTAAATAATATTCAAATTTTTTTCAGATTTCTCTTCAAAAATACGATTATTCTTAAAAATTGGTAATAAAATTTCTTCTCCAACATTTAAAATTTATTTTAATAAAATTTGACGATATTTATAATAGAAAATTTTTCAATCAATTACTAACAGGAATTCAATTAACTTTCAAAAATATAAAATAAAAGTTTTCCTTTAACGTATAATTTTTCTAAATTTTTATTCTATTATTCAAAAATTCAATAACTTTGTTAAATAAATATTTAAATGCTTATTTTCCACAGGAGTTAAAATTTCAAAAAATTTCAATTTTTCTAAAATCTTCTAAAATTCTATTACAAAAAACTCAACTGCAATGCTTGCAAAATTTAATTATTTTCTTTAATTTTTCATCAAATTGATCCAAAACTTTAATGATTTTTTAAAATAATTAAACTTCTACGCCAATTGAAATTTTCCAAAAAATTTTACGTTAAAAACTTTTGAAATTAAATTATTTCTAAACATTTCTACTTTAACTTTAACAATTATTTTTAATAATTTTCAGAAAGATTTTTTGTGAATTGAATGATTTACAAAATAGAAAAGTTAAATTAAAATACAATTGAAAATTGAATTTTTTTCACTTCAATTTTGCAAAATTTTGTTTATTTAAAAATTTTTCAGTTAATTTTCTATTGGAATATTCAACACATTTCAAAAATGGTTTCTGTTAAACTTTTTTAAAAACCAAATTGTACAGAATTTTGTAAAATTACTTCAAAAAATTTCAACTACAGCTCAATTATGTTCAAAAATATTTAAAAATTCTTGTTAAAATTTTAATTATCTTTATAAACAATAAAATTCTTTTTCAAAATTCAACTATTTTCGAAAAATTTTAATAAAATTCTTTGCAAAATTTCAATTATTTTCAAAAAATTTCCTCGATTCAATGATTTTCAATATTTCTTAATTTTTTCTTATTTTAATAAAAATTTCCAAAAGAATGAAATTATTTTTAAAAAATTTCGATAAAACTCCACGCAAACATTTAATTATTTTCATAAATAACAAAATTTTCACAGGAATTAAATTATTTACAAATTTTCTATAAATTTTTTTTTTAGGAATTCAATTATTTTCATAGATAATAAAACTCATCGCAGAATTTTAATTATTTTTAAATACAATTTTAATCAAATTCCTTGAAAAATGTAATTATTTTTAAAAATTTTATTAAAATTAATAATGAAAAATAATGGATTCATAAAAGAATCTTAGTTAAAAACCCTAAAAAAAATTGAATTTTGTAGAAGCCGCAAATGAAATTGCAAAAATTCAATTATTTTCAAAAATAATAAAAATTTTTTCCGAAATTTAATTATTTTCAAAAATTTTAATACAATTCTTGGAAAAATTTCGATTATTTTAAAAAATTTTTAATACAATTCTTGGAAAAATTTCAATTATTTAAAAAAATTTTAATAAGTTTCTAGGCAAACATTTAATTATTTTGATAAATAACAAAACTCATCGCAGGATTTCAATTATTTTTAGTAAAATTTTAATCGAGTTTTTTAAAAAATATTCTTTATGAGAATTCAATTTTAAGAAACATTCAATTATTCGACAAAATAATTTATTTTCGTAGTGAAATAATTGAATTCTCGTAGAATTTTCTTATGAAAATTGATTTAAAAATGAATTTTAGTTTAAATTTTACATAATGATTGAATATTAAAAGCAGCAGTATAGCTTGAATTTTTAGAAATAATTGAATTTTGAAAAGGTTTCAAATTAAAATCTTCGAAAAATTGAATTTTTTATACTTTTAACTATAACAGTTTTGTAGAATTAATTTTTTTGAAAATGTTTAATTGAATTTTTTTTTTGAAATTATTTAAAGTTTCTATTTTCTAATTGAAGAATTTTAGAATAATCGAAATTTCCTAAAAGTGAATTGTAATCAAATTGATTTGAAAATTCTCCAAGCACTTTTTAAAAAATTATTAAAAATAATTGATTTAAAGATGAATTTTAGTTAAAAATTGTAGAAAATAATAATTGCATTGAAATGATGAAAATAATTTTGAAGAAGTTACAGTATTTCTTATAATATAAAATATTTTTTAGGGAAAAAATGAAAAGTTTGTCTGGAAATCAGGGAAAAGTGAGGAAAAAACAAAATTAAATTTTTTTGGCAACCCAGTTGTAACTTATTTTAAAAAATAGTAGTTAAATATTTCTCCAAGGTGGAAAATGTGTCAAAAATTATAAAAAAAAGTCACTTGAGTTCAAGGCCTGCATAATTTTCAAATTATCGTTAAGAGAATTTCTGGAAAAAAAGAGATTTTTCAATAGAAATGTCGCCTACTTTATAGTAAAAAAAAAAATTGTCTACTTTAAGATGCAATTCCTTCTGTATATTCATTGGAGCAAACCCAAATATCGATTGTTCGAAATTGTTAAGGAATAAAGAAAAGAAGAGGAAAATTTGACGCCGCACGTATATAACAAGAAATCGATGAGTAAAAGGATCGGCAATACCACGCTCCTTTCCGGCTACAACCATCCTCTGTTCCCTCGGTTTTAATAAGACTTTATTCGGTGATGAAGCGTAAACTAAGACATGCTGGCTTAGAGTTGATCGAAATTGATAGCGATAATAAATTATAAACACAGCTTCGGCATCTACAACTTGATGAGCTAGACAGCACGAGATAATCAAGCCAAAACTTTGTGGGAGTCTAGTCTACTAATTTCAGTGCAAATCAAAAATTACTCTTTATAATAATTAATAATAATTATATTTCGAAAAAAACACTTTAATCTAAATTCACTTTTTAAACGAAAGAAAACGATTATGTATATAAATTGAATTCAAATTGCTTTTATATAACAGTAATGATGACAAACGATTTTAACAGCAATCGCGAGTGAATCTTAATTTAATCTAGGATCCGTCTAGGATTTGGGTCTAGAAAAATGTAATAAAAACCAATATCAGTAATCACATTTTTTTAAGCGAATTAAGTATCGTTGTAATTGGAAATTACAAATCGAACAAAAAGTAGAAAAATTCTATCGTGTGAAATTTTAAATTATTTCTCTATTCATGCCAAAGATGATAAATGAGGAAAAATTTGTTATTTTCATTGAAAGATTTACAAATTTACAAAATAAGTATTAGAAGCTTTAAAAAATATGTACAATATTTTAAATCTATTATGCTAATAAATAAACAGAAGATAAATGATGTGTGGAAACAACCATTTGTTTACTGTAAACATTCGGTATCACATTTATGTAAAAATTTCTCTGAAAAACTCCACAAAGTTGACTTCCTCTCTCTTTGTCAAATATATTAAAAATTCAGACGTGGGGAAGAAAATATTTGTACACAGATTATAAACATTTTCACAGTCGGATAAACATTATGTAAAAAAAGAATATCAAGTCAAAATGTTTAACGTTCGTCTCAATTATTGTATGGAAAATAATAAACGAAATACATTCCGAAAAATGGTTTTTAAAAAAAAATGTTGCTCCAACTTCTTCATGACTAATATATATTTTTTATTTTTTTTTCATCAGAGAGTCTAGAAAAAATCGTTGTATTCCGATAATCTGTTCACAGTTTGAAGTTAATTTTCGTTTTCTTTTTCTTTTTTTTAACTTTTTTAATAATTATTCTTTTTAAATATTTTCAATTTTAAAATTAATGTACTCATTGAAAATCATTGAATTCTTGCAAAGAAATTTGTCAAAAAATTTGAGAATAATTGAATTCCTTCGAAGAATTTTATTATTTAGAAAAATAATTGAATTCTCGCGAAGAATTTTGTTGAAATTTTTGAAAATTTTAATTAAATTATATTTGAAGAATTTCCTTGAATTTTTTTTAAATAATGGAGTTTCCTTAATAATTTTAATTAAAAATTGTTTAAATAATTGAATTTTATGAGCAATTTTTTCAAATATTTAAAATAATCGTGTTTGTTAATAATTGAAATTGAACATTTAATTAATGAATTTTATTATAATTTTTGAACACAATTTAATTCTTTTGAAAAATATTATACCGAATTAAGAAAGAAAAGTGAATACTTTCGAGAAATTTTTTTGAAAATAAATGAATTTGTGCAATGAATTTTACTATTTATAAATACAATTGAATTGTATTCGAAGGATTTATTAAAATTTTTAAAAATAATTGCATTTTTTCGGAGAATTTATTAAAAGTTTAGAAAATAATTCAATTTTACTGAAATTTTCTATATCGAAAAAAATTGAATTCTTTCGTGAAATTGTTTCGAATATAATTGATTTTTTTTGTAAAGAATTTTACTATTTATAAATACAATTGAATTGTTCAGAGAATTTAATAAAATTTTTAAAAATAATTGAATTGTTTCGAAGGATTTATTAAAATTTTAGAAAATAATTGAATTTTTTCGAAATATTTTATAACGAATTAAGAAAAAAATTAAATTCCTTCGAGAAAATTTTTTTTTTATAATAATTGAATTTTTGCAAAGAGTTTACTATTTAAAAAAAATAATTGAATAGTTTCGAAGGATATATTAAAATTTTAGAAAATAATTGTATTTGTTTGTGAAATTTTATTAAAATTTTGTTTAAAAACAATTGAATTTTTGCAAAAGATTTTACTATTTGTAAAAGTAATTGAATTCTTACGAAGAATATTATTATTTATGAAAATAATTGAATTCTTGCTAAGAACTGTATCAAAATTTTTGAAATTATAATAAACAAGAATAATTAATCAGGAAATTAGTTAATAATTAAATTTTTTAAGTTTAAATCTGAAATTATTCAAAAATTCATATTTAAAAATAAAAATTTTGTCATTTACATAATAATAATAATAATAAAAAATTTAATATCACGTTCCGCGCGTAACATTTGCTAGTTATTTAATAAACAACGAGAATTAATTCCCAAATCATTGCAATTTTGTGTATTTTGATATTTTCAATTTAAATTTTCTTTAATTTTTTACTCTCCATTATTATAATCTTTTGATATTTTTTATTTATTGTTTCAAATTTATAAATTTTTATTTATTTGTTTTTCTTTTTGTTCATTGCATTTTTTTAAAGACTCCCTGATGTGAAAAGTATTTATAGGCATCTAAAAATTAGAGCATTTTTTTATTAAATTATTTTTGTTTTTTAATTTTTTATTTTATTTATGTTGTTATGTTATTTTTTATAAACTTTAAGAATCTTAAGAAACAAACTTTAACAAATATTTTGAACAAAAGTTTGCAAAAAAAAAAACAAACAAATTTAAAAATGAGCAGAAATTTATTTAAAAATCACCAACCGAATGTATTAGTTTTATTATTTTCCTATAATTCGATTACAATGGAAAAAAATGATTTGATTCACATTCAAATAATCGACTAAAAATATTTTCTTGAATTTAATAATTTTAATTCAATTCAATTAAATTGTATTTTAATCAATATTTCAGTACTTGAAGTAAACTCGATTTAATTGAAGAAAATTAAATATAATAGGCAAGTAATTTGTTATATTAAAAATTTTTTTTTTTTGACTTTTCTTATCAATAATAAAAAAATCGCCTCAAAGATTTTCTCAAAGCTATTTTTACATCGAAGTGAATAGAATGTTTAATTGAAAATTATTTTACAAATTATGTAAATATATATAAAAATGCAAAGTTATAAATAGAATGTAAATATATAAAAATAGAAATACATTAAAATTTCTTAAATATAAAAATTTGTAGCTCCATGCTGATACGATCGTGAATTGTAATTTTAATAATAATAGTAATGATAATAAAAATAATTAATAATAATAGTAATAATAACAAGAAAAATAATTAATGATAATAGTAATAATAATAAGAAAAATAATTAATAATAATAGTAATGATAATAAGAAAAATAATTAATAATAATAGTAATAATAATAATGATGATAGTAATAATAATAATAAAATAATTTAAAAAGTGAGAATGAAATATTTTGGAAAATAATTGAAAAAAATATTATGAATTTCAGTGGATACCATTAAACAAAATGAAAAAATGAGCGCGCTGATACACAACTCGGTACTGCGTTCATTTCCTGTGTCGAGATCAAAACGGACACTGCAAAAACATGACGAATTTTTTTTTTTTTTTTTTTTTGACTTTATCAGCCATGCTTATGGTTTTAAAACAGACGTGTGTTGTTGTTACCTTCGTCCACGGCGCATTATCAGTGGATAAGGAGAAGTTAATTAAAACAATTATTTTTTTTTAAATTCGTTTACGACCGACTAATTGCAGCTCTTTTGTCATTTTTTTTTATCATGATGAAAAATTGTTAAATATTACCAACTTACCTTCGATGCGTCACCATAAGGGAAAAAATTCCCATATATTTTCTTGAATTCCTCAACACTCAAGTGTCCACTTGGACAATCTTTCAGGAATCCTTTGTACCATTCCTGTATCTCTGCATCTGCAAAACATTAAATTGCAAGATTATGAAATATTTCTCTACATTTCATTAAAATTTCATTTAAATTTCACAAAAACAATTTTCATATTATATTATTTGAAAAATTTTAATTGCATAACTAAAAACAACAGTGAAAATTTCATATTCTCCTCGTGACCTTTAGTTTTCTCGATGTTATCACATAATGCAAAATAAGTTACGTTCTTTGAAAATATAGTGTTGCATTACGAGATTTATTAATAATTCAGCAGTTTTTCTTACTCGAATGCTTCGTGTAGGTAATTTTTGCAAATCACTTTTTAACTTACATTCATGGTTGACTTAATGATAAAAGGAAAAAGAAAATATTGATTCACGCTACTAATTACCCATTAAAATTGTTGTTAGAATTTAAAAAAAGAAAAGTTTCCATATTCATAAAATAAATATTCAAAAAAATAGAAATTCTGTAATTAATATTTTCTTTCGAGTATTTAACTGTATTTTTTTAATGAATAATATTTCTTAATGTTAAAAAATTGTTAGTTTCTCTTCTATTGTATTATGTTTTAGAGATTAAAGAGATTAAAATTACACATTTGCTATTCAAGGAAGAGAAGCTTTCAACAGAAGGAGAATAAAGTGAATGCTTTATGCTTTTTCCCTTTACGACCTCGAACTTCAATCTTTTTAAAATCCCTCAAAGATATAAAAATATTTTACTAGAGATTTTTACAAAATAGAATTGCTTTTTGAGCAGATTCTAAGCCGAATGTGTATATATACATGTATATATTCAGCTCGTGATTTATTTCATTCGAAATGCATTTAATAAGAATCTTAAAATCGTTCGTTGAAAAAATAGAAAAGCACTGGTTTTTCAATAAATCGTAAAAAAATATTTTCATCTTTTTATAGATGAAAATTTGAATTAAATTAAAAATGTTTACTAATTTCAAGACTTTGCTTTTAAATTAGTAAATTTTAGTAAAAAATTAGTGGAAATTACTTATTAGGTACTAAAAAAAAAGTTCCATTACATTTATTTACGAATTATAAGAATACTATTATAAAACATGAAGATAAGGATCACTCAGAGTTTTCGAATCGGAGCAATCAATATCTTCATGTTTTATAATAATTCAAAATGACCCAGTGATAAAATGATTATTTTTTTTTATTTTATAAAAATATTGTTACTGTCACTTCCTCAAAATTATTTTCATCATTTCAATTCAATTATTATTATTTATAAAATTTTTAACTAAACTTCTTCTTTAAATTTGAAATTTCTCCAAGAAATTTTTCAAAAATTATTAAAAATAATTGTTTTTAATAATTTTTGAAAAAGTTCTTGGAGAATTTTCAAATCAATTTGATTACAATTCAATTTTAGGAAATTTCGATTCTTTCAAAATTCTTTAATTAGAAAATAGAAACTTCAAATAAATTTAAAAAAATTCAATTAAACTTTTTCAAAAAAATTAATTCCTATGAATTGTTTAGTTAAAAGTATGAAAAAAGCAAATTTTCAAAAATTTTAATTTAAAACCTTTTCAAAATTCAATTTTTATTTATAAAAATTCAAGCTATGCTGCTTTTAATATTTAATTATTATGTAAAATTTAAACTAAAATTCATTTTTAAATCAATTTTCATAAGAAATTCTACGAGAATTCAATTATATTTCACTATGAAAATAAATTATTTTGTCAAATAATTGAATGTTCCTTAAAATTGAATTCACATGAAGAAATTTGTCAACAAATTTTTAAATAATTGAATTCTTTTGACGAATTTTAATAACATTTTTAAAAATAATATTTTTTGAGAAACTCAAATTTTTAAGAATAATTTACATTTTTGAAGAATTTGATAAAAATAATTAAAAATAATTAAAATTCTGCGAGGAGTTTTATTATTTATGAAAATAATTGAATTATTACAAAGAAATTCAGAGAAAATTTTTTAATAATTGAATTTCTGTAAAAATTTTCTTATTTATGAAAATAATTAAATGTTTGCGTAGAATTTTATCAAATACTTGTACATTTGAAAGTTTTATTAAAATAAGAAAAAATTAAGAAATATTGAAAATCATTGAATTGAAAAAAATTTTTGAAAATAATTGAAATTTTTCTAAGAATTTAATAAAACTTTTTGAAAATAATTGAAATTTATCCAAAGATTTTATTAAAATTTTCAAAAAGAATTGTAATTTTGCTAAGAGTTTTTTTAAATTTTTGAAAATCATTCAATTTCGGAGAAGAGTTTCATTATTTATAAAAATAATTGGAATTTTGTCGAGAATTTAAAAAAATTTTTGGACATAATTGAAATTTTGCCAAGAATTTTATTAAAATTTTTGAAATTAATTGAAACTAGCAACATATACCTCACTCGCTAACGCTCGTTCGGTTGTATTTAAACTTATTAGTTTTTACTTATTTTTTTTTTTTATTTGAACTAAGTAAATATTTACTGGACATAAATATTTTAATTTATGGTATCTATTAAATAGTTATTTGAACCAAATACAAATTACTTAAGTCAATTAAATAGAATAATTTAATTTAATAAATATTGCTTTAAATCAATTATAAAAATTACTTGATTAAATAATGCATAGTTTTTAATTAAAATAAATATTTATTTGCATCAATAAAATAATTTTTTTGAAATAACTAAACTTAGAAGGTTAGATTTTGAATGTTAGCCTGATTCTCTGAATAATTAGTAAGAAAAGGGCGAAGATACGTCCATTCTTTTCTTACTAATAGGATTTTCTGTAGGTAATGATCAGGGTGTTTTTTTGAAATTTTTACTGCACTATTCTTACGCATGTCACCGTCACCAATATTGTTACAATATATATTGTAACAATATTGTTACAACAAAGTCTAGACTTTGGGTTTTTGCAAGTCTAGACAATATAGTTGTATAATAATATAAATTTTTCTTTCTAAACCAGAATTTGAACATTTACAAAATTAAAACCTTATAGTGGTTAGAAAATGTAAAAAATTATTAATATTTATAAAAATATAAATTATTTTATTTAAAATCATTGTGTAATAAGACAAAAATTATGAAGTGACATTTACAAAAAATGTCATTGTACATTATACGAAATGTTATTTTTACGTATTCTCTTACTAAACCTTTCATTTTCGTCCGCTATCCTGGATTCGCCATTTTGTATTTTTAAAAAGTGACTTTGGATTCATAATCAGTGGAATTTTACTGAAAATCAGTTGAAAAGTACTAAAATATCAGTCATTCTTCACTGATTATTATTTTATTGTGATTTATTTATTAATATTGTAAATTTCTGTCAAACAAATAATTTTACTAAAAGTCAGTTGAAAATTACACTTACAGTAGTGTTTCATTCGAGCAACACGATCCGAGAAACGAACAAAAAACGATTTTCTTTTTGTTTTGATAACCAAGCTGTCATGTTCGCTCGTCTTATTGAAGTAAATTTTCATAAATGTTTATTTACATTATTCGAAGATAATTAAATCTTAAAAAATTACTATAAAAAAATTCTAATAATATTAGTTTTTAAAAATATTATAATGTTATTTTTCGAAAATAATTGAATTTCTTAAAATAATTCTTATATCCTAATTTACCTTTAAAAATTTTTTTTAAATTTTTGGTAATTCAATTATTTTCAAAATTTGCAATTAAAATTCTTCAAAAAATTGTAACAAAATACTTGAAATAAATTAATTATTTTCAATTAAATTTTGCACAATTTCAACTATTCAAAAAGGTTTCTATTGTAGACATATTTGAAAAATTTAATTGTGTTAAAAAATTATTCAAAGAAATCTAAGTATACTTATTTTTAATTATCTATAACTTAATCTATTGAATTTAGAAAAATTACATCAAGAGGACAAAACTTTGTTCTTTCGTCTACTTTTGAATAATGTTTAGAAAACTAAATTTTTATTAATGTTTATTAAAAAATTATTTTATACCTAAAAATGTTAAATTTTTTTAATTTAGGCATGATTACAATCACAGGCACACAAAAAAAAAGTTGTCTGTTCATTGAACAAGACCTACATGTCTTATAGTATTTTGGCCCCCTGAATACGAATATGAAGTCAGAATTGCTCCAGCACCCTCTGTTTTTTTTAAATCGAAAAAACTACCCTTAAGTCTAAAATTCAAGAATTAAAGTAAAAAAAAATAAAAACACGGCTTTCTTCGGAGTAGAAGAATATATTTGTGCGTTTTCTTCTTTCAACAACTCAAATAATGTCAAAATTGCTCCACCACCCCTGTTTTTTTAAATAGGAGAAACTACCCTTAAATCTAAAATTCAAGAACTAAAGTCAAAGAATGAAATAACCACTTTTTTGCGAAGTAGAAGAATATATTTATGCGTTTTCTTCCTTCAACCACTCAGAAATATTGTCAAAATTGCTCCACCACCCCTGTTTTTTTAAATGGGAGAAACTACCCTTAAATCTAAAATTCAAGAACTAAAGTAAAAAAATATGAAATAACCGGTTTTCTTAGGAGTAGAAGAATATATTTATGCGTTTTCTTCCTTTAACCTCTCAGAAATAATGTCAAAATTGCTCCACCACCCCTGTTTCTTTTAAATGGGAGAAACTACCCTTAAATCTAAAATTCAAGAACTAAAGTCAAAGAATGAAATAACCAGTTTTTTTGCGAAGTCGAAAAATATATTTATGCGTTTTTTTCTTTCAACAATTTAGAAATAATGACGAAATTGCTCCATCACCCCCTGCCCTTAAATCTAAAATTCAAGAATTATAGTAAAAAATGATATAACAGGTTTTTTCCAAAGTAGAAGAATATATTTATGTACTTTTTAAAAAAGCATCAGCATTGCTTCATCACCCTCTTATTGATTTATATTGAAAAAACTACCCCTTTAAGTATGAACCCAGAGTATACTAACAACAATAAAAACAATTAGTTTTAGACAAAAGCATACGTTCCTTTATTTTTGTTCTCATAACTAAAAAGCAGAA